ATGTTTGGGAGGTTACTAAGGGGTTTTCAGAAGATAATTTTACAGTATTTTTCCTCTCATCTACACACTTCAAGAAATAAGTATATCTTTGAAGGAGTGGCACAGTGGTGCAGTGGCAAGCATGACTGCCTTGCAGTGCTGGGACATACTGAATGATGGAGTAACAGAAAAGCAGAAAGAGTACTGTAATACTCTTTCTGAAGGTTTAGATATCTAAACATCCAGCTGCATTTGTGTTAAAAGTTAGATCTCTCATAGCACCAGTCCAGTATAGTCCTGGCAGGACAGACTTCAGAAAAAAAAATATCTTTCACAACTTTGGACAGAACCTGCTCTTTCATTAAACAATACTTGGCTCATGAACTTCAGGGATGTTTTTCAGCTGGAATGTTCTACAGCTAGAATTAACAGAGCATTATGTACACTGAATAAACATGGAGCACAACAGCTACAGATTTGGGTACACTATGGGTGTCAAAAACTCAGACACTCCTTCCTCTCACCACATGTTATTTAACACTATATTTTGTGCCACTTTATTAATGGTTTGCCATATTATATGTAACTGTATACAATACAATGTTCTGATGTTTGCATTGTAATGTATTGTAATTGTGTTGTTATGGTCTTGGTTTGTTTTTAGCTAATGTATGCTATTGATACAAGCATTGGTATGGCAGTAAATAATTTAAGCTTTCATATTATTTAAGAAATTATGATTCATCACTATATCCTGTTTCTTAATGTTTCATGTGTACGTATTTTACAAACAACTACACACATGATTTTCAAAAATCATGCAATTTACATTTTGAAAGCATTTAGTTGTAACGTTAAAACAGACAGAAAGTGATATGTGCATTACAAATATTTGAAATGGCTCCTTCTATTTTTGATTAGTCCATTCACTTTGGAGGTAGACATGAAGAGGCAATGTTGCACATTTTACCACAGGTGAATTTAGTTGACTTCAGAATTTCATAGATGTCAAATTATGTTTTAAATTATGATTGCATTGCTTTTTGTTACCATTGCCTGTAGAGTAACACAATTATATTTATCACATAACTTCAAATTTTTCAAAATTTCCATTGAATAAATAAATTACTTTCTATTATGTAAGATCCAGGAAAATCAAAATAGTCAAATTAAAGTTTTTTTGTGAAATGCAAGAAACTTCAATAATTACTTAATCTGTATTGCTTATCATTGTATTCCCCTAATTACAGGAATTATAATGCTATATGCCTTACTGTTGTTCACAATGATTCTCTATAGACTTATCGCATTCTTGGGAATGCAAGTTGTTATCTTACAATATTTTTTTAAAATTCTTTATATCAAATTAAATGTATTCATTCTGTATTTATTTTTAGCGTGTTTTTCATTTGCAACAAACATTTTACAAACACTGTTCTCAGTGCAACTGTTTGTGGTGTTTGTTTCTAACCTGATATTGTATTTCTAAGATAGGTAAATACATTGACATCTGCACACACACAGTAACCCACCCAGCTCTGGAAACAAAAACAAAACTCTTATCCAAAATTATATGGGATTCTTTATTCCATTCAACAGCAATAATAAGAATTAATCCCAAATGTCTAAATCAACCAGGAATGGTTATGCATCTAAATCAGAACAGAAATAAATGTTTGCAAAGTTTTTATATTGATGGAATATGAAGAGGTTATACTTCTGTAAAGTTGTCAGTTGTCATATTTTGATATGAATTTATATACAACTGGAAGTTCCTTACCAAAAAAGAAAACGTAAATTCTACAACATTTTAATACCTGATGTTTATTTTAGTCAAACGTAACTAGGAGCACTTCTGATACCATGTACAGTATGTGTTTTTTCCAAAATAAAAGATTGATAATAATTATGAGATAATTTCAGTTCCTTTAATCACACTCCATCTATGAATAGAATTGTTATCATTCTGGAGTTACACATATACTGAGATCTTTTTTCATCCTTGAATGTTTTCAAATAAAATAAAAATACTATTTTCAGTTTTACATCGGACAAGAGCAGGTGCTGTCTTTTCATATGTATCATTTTAATTGGGTGAAAGAAAATGTGAAAGACTCTATAATAGTATTGTGCCTAAAATCGTTAATTATTTCCTTCCTTTGAGCTGTAGTTCACGTAGTTTGGGTCAATGTGAAATAGCGGTAAAGGCTCTCGATTGGAAGGCCATGGGATCAAATCCCGGTTCAAATCCCAATTTACTCAAAATTGCACCATTTAAAGCATTGCTGTATAAATGACTATTCTCCAGGTTGTCATTTTGGATGAGAATTTGTTCTCAGCTGATATCTCCAATCAATGGAAATGAAATAATTACAGATAAAGAGTGTGGCAACTTTAATCAGTTTCTATCTACCATGAACGAAATTACTCATAACATAACTGATGAAAAGTGCAGTGACTATGCATAGATCGTATGCAACGCCCCAAACAGAAGTATTGCTTTCATGCAAACATTTTGTATACTTCATTGATGCTAACAGTCAGAAAAATGTTTACCTTTGCTTAAGTCTAATTACACTGATATTCAATAGGTGCCATAACAAATGTTAGAAGAAATGTTTGGAAAAAATAAGAAATGTATAAAATCAGTTATAATAAAAGTAATAAGAAATGAATTATTAAAATTACGTATTAAAGATGTTTCGTAATATGTTTTAAAATGACGCACTACATACATACTATATGTTTTCAGTTCATTAAAAACCCTACAGCATTTGACCATCGAAAGTTTAAAATGTATAGTCTCAAAAAGATTTGAGAATTATAAAGTTTCACACAATGAGGATTCCCTTAAATCTAAAGACATGAAAGTCTATGCAGAATTGACATTTTACAAAATGGGTATTCTATTGTTTCCACAAACAACGTAAATTTGACGCTGATAAACAAAATCAAAGTCTGGGAACAACCGCATTCATACACTTTTTAAAGAACTGGAGATAATAGTGGTACCACAGCACTGTGCTTAGCCGAATGCGACAGGCTTGATGAGAAGCGTAACTGCAGTTCGCTCCCGGCGAGAAGCTGTTGAGAGTACATCTCCTGGTGAAGGTTTGTTAGGAGCTTTAGCACGGATCGGTCAAGGACAGCCCACAATTGCTAACTGGGGTACATGTAAAAAGATTACATGGGCCCTGTCAGAGATGTGATAAAAATAAAAAAATACAAAAGTCAAGAAATAATGGAGTAATTAGCCCACTACCTATATATGCCTTAATAAAAGAGGTTTAATTGGAGGAGTAACAAAAAAGCACTTGATAAAATACGGTGAATGACAGGCAAACTTAACAATCATGTAACCAATATTACTGTAGAAACAGCATAATTAACTTACAAAATATAATAGCTATTGTCAGTTTATAGGAACATTATAATGCCAGTGCTGCCGCTGAAAAGCCTACAATTAAATGAATTAACTACCAATTACATTATCTTTTCTTACCTCGTTACGTCTTTTTTTTCTGAAAAGTTAAAACTGTGGTAGAATCCCATACGACAAAAGCAGTTTAACCCTTGATGCTCAACAAATTTCGAGGCACGCTCTATTTCATTGTATTGATCTCTATGGAGTCCAAAATGATTATCAATTGTAATGTGAATAATTCACCAAATATCCACGTAAATCTAAAATCAGTACGATTTATAATAAACAATAATAGAAGTGTTATAATGCTTATCAGATATACGTCTTATATCATACTACCCACCCCCTTCAATTATAAAATACTGAATTATGAAATGAAAAAAATCTTCATGTTTATATTTAGAATTAAAGAAAAGCTATACAACCATTAAAAATGTAATATTCTATTGGAATATGAAAAAACATGAAAAAAACCCATAGACGAACCACAAACACTGGCGTACAGTATATATTTAAAATAATTATTTTCCTTTTTTGTTTATTTGAAACTGATTAACATGTGCTAATCTTATTTGTCTTACACCAAAGCACGGTCAAAACGTAAATGTACCTATGAACATATCTTTTTAAAAGTATCCAATAGCACTTACTGTATATAAATATAATGCTCTATTGCGGAGTAGTCAAAGTACTCAAAACTAAACAGATAAGCAATGAAATACAAAAATGGAAGAAACAAATGCTTATTCGTGGAGTAAAGAAAGTGAAATGAATTATTTGTCATATTTATTGTATCTGCATAATATTATTTTTGTTGTTGTTCTTATTATTTCTATTATCAATAGTTTTGAAAATCATATTTGGTGTCGTCTATGCACGGCCTCTAAGATGATTTTAGTAGCTTTTATGAAATGATCAGCGCCATCATAGAGTTAAGGGGCGGTCGCCCCTTAGTACTTGTGGTTCAGGTGCAATAACCCATGTAATACAATAAATCATACGTGAATCCTTTTTTTTTTCAGCAGGATATGTGGTAGTATCCTAATACATCATATGAATGTAATATTCCATGAAACATTTTGGGCGTTAATATGGACATACAGTATACCAGTCAAACCTGCTAGTGAAGTCTGCTTTGAGATGGACACAATGGATGGAGATGTAATTGTAAATACCGGCGCATTATGGACATGACACAGTATGCAATTTAAACTATTTAACACAAATATGTGCAGAAGGTATAGCACTATGACGCACAAGCGGCATGACGTATTTATTGTTTCAGTGGATTTAAATTTTTAATTTAAAACACCGAAAATGCTAAAACAGCCAGTGGTTTGCTTCTTGCAATCGCTTTCACTAATGTTCCTTATATTCTTTTTTAAGTAAGGTTACTTAAATATATATTTTTACTATTTTACTGTCTTTACTTCGGAGCTTAGAAGCAAAGTATAACAACAATGTTACCGTATATTTACACACTCTTCATCTTGAAACAGTCACACAATGCATTTTTCGGAAACCGCAACAAAAAAGCATAATAGATAAATAAACAGTCTCAGTGGTAGATCCTGGTGCTTTGATATTTCTTTATTAAAACGCAGAGGTACATTTTACAAACAAAAAAAAAATATTTGAGCTTCAACATCTGAATGATTACAAAATTATCTAACCCTAAAATCTAAAATTTCATTAGTCTAGTTTATTCAATCAATGACACTTTGAGACTGTTGCCATTGCTTTAAAAATATTATTCATATTGCCTCTAAAGTGCCACAGAAAGCATGATTTCTTCATTGCCTTCTTGTTACAAACTGCTCTGTCTCTCTCTCTTTCAAATACCTCTTTTCAACCAAAGATCAAGCTTTAAATAGGAACACATGCACTATTCGAAGCACTGTTCGGATTTAATTTACCAGTAAGAATGGCAGACTTAATTATATGTCTAAGCGTAGGGTCTACAAAACATTTAAAAAATATCCATTGAACGAGAACCGCTTTACATTTTAATTTACCTCACTATACTTCTTCTATTCTGCCATAAATCAAGAGCACTACAAATAAAGAAACACGAAGAAAGGAAAGCAGAGAGGAATACAAAACAGATTCTGACACGAGCAGTTTTTTTCCTCTCAGCATAATGTATTTTTACCCTGCTTTAAGTAAACGTCAGACACTGATAATTCTACTTAAATGTATCCATGACGTCACAATTCACAACGAAAAAGTGTTACATTACTTTTCAATTCACTAAACCGTAGTACATCCTGACGCTTAAGAAAGCTGAACATTTGTTACATATCTGTTTATTAAGACAAAGGATGAAAGTTAAAGCCTGACCGGTCCGACACAAAAGGTATTTTTGCAACAGAAGAGGGCGCTTTTGTGTCTGTATATGTATTCGGGTATATCTGTACATATATGCAGACACTGACTTTAGATTGTAATATTTGAGTAAGGTGAAATATGGGTGGACGGGAGAGAAAAATGTATTTAATGAAATGTGTGAGGAAAATAAACCAACGAATACACATTGCAAAGCTACATAACCGTCTATACCTTTCCCAACAATGTATACATTTAGCAGTTACAGATAAATAATAGCAAGCCGACTAGTACGTGCTCTGTTTTGCCTATTAAGTAAAATTACCCTTCACTTTGAGTTTACATTATACCACGTGTCACGTTGTCTGTTTAGGACTGTCATTATCTGTAATTATGCTCTATAATTGCCTTTTGGTTTACAAAGCTAAAACATCGAACGATGTCACTGATTTTAATCACGTTCTGCTTTCTAGTTATTTTGCATAGTCTGCTTAAGTAGGCTATGTGTTCTTAAAAGTTAGACGTTTTGATTGTACTCCCTTTCTTACTCTTGAAGTGTATTCTGAATATTTTTAAAGTTTAATAGCAAACAACTGCATCGTACATTTTTCAAACCGTTCACCTTTAGATTTTTCTCTAAAATGACTAAAGTAGTCTGCACACATCAACAAGGTTTATAAACTTTCTACTACAAATTGTATCTCACTCTTTTTCATTCATTAAATATTTGCCAGTAAATATTTTTAAAAATCATTTGTCAGGTTACAATATTGTTAATTATGCGTTGTTTTGTCAAATCTCTGGATTCCACTGTGACTCATAACTTTGCCATAAAAAATAAAGTTGCCTAAGCAGCATGCAATTACTCTTGTACCATGTTAAAAATAAACCCAGCTTTACATTCTTAATACATACTGAGCAACAAATGCTGGAAAATTACAAGTTTCGAGGCTGTAAAGTTCAATCACAATATACACAAGGATATTTAAAATGTTTTAAAAAACATTAAAATATGTCTCTAGTTTTAACTACAAAGCATTTTTACACTCAAAAGTATGTATGTACTGTACATGTATATCACATTAAGAACGTAAAACACATACATGTATATATTCACTACTTGCTTTTTCAATTCATACCAGCCAAAACGTTAAAAGTGCGAATCTGCGCTTCCATGCTCATTCATGAATTTCAAATAGAGTCCAATGTTTTTTTCCAAAGTTGACTACTCACAAATTATTCAATTTCATAAGTGTTTCTGTATATCACATACATTGTTTTAGCGCTGGACTATAAAAATAATAAATGCCTTAATAAAATAAACCTTAATAAAGATGAAAATCCCAAGCATCTCCAAAAACCTCAGAACGCAGGATAATAAAAGAGAAAAATATACGGTAAATGAAGGAAAATGGAAGAGGTCAGCAAAAGATAGGCTCCTTAAAAGAAATAAGGATGGTATAGCTGCAGACTACTGTAGGACTTCAAGAGTTGTAATGTGATAATAGGAACAGCTGCTCTGCTCTTTCAGAGCCAATCGGCTTTCCATGAAGATGACGTTCCCGCACCTCACGTCAGACCAATGGCGATTGAGTAGAGTTAGAGCAGAGAGTTTGAGTGAGAGATAAGGACAAGAGTGCCTCATCAGCAGTGAGACCAGGCACTGCGGCGCGCGTACCCTTTACTTTCAACGTGAACAGTAGTACCCAGCCCAGCACCGCAGCGCCTCTAACCCATAAAAACACTGCTTCACTGCAAGCGAAAAATTGTTTCTGGTATAACGCTGCAGCACCAAATTTTCACAGTGGACCTAACACCACCTTACTATCTTGACATGGGAGACATGGGAGATCCGCCAAAAAGTAAGTTCAACTTTTTACATTGAAATGGCATGTGTTTCTTAGCAGCAACTGCTTGTTGCGAGTGGATACAACCTAACCCAGAGGAAGAGATCATTTTTAAGTATAAATTTGTTTACCTTTGGGGCAACGTCTAGGGTGTCCTGTCCACTCATTCTTGTCAGCAGTACCGCAACGGATTAACGCAGAGACAAAAGTTGGTATACGCTCAATCTAAGAAGCGAAAACATTTTTGTATTCATACACATGGTTAATTCGTTAACTAAATAGACTCCTAATTTTTTCAGCTGGTCTAATTTAGTCTTGGCTCGTGTTGGCGCAAAGGACACTTTTTTATTTTTAAATGACCTTTTTTGTAATGATGAAGTTCAACCTTCTGAGGTAAAAGTACGCAAGGGTAATGACATTAATACTGTACATCATGGATTATTTTTATTGCTATTGCTGTCGCAGACATTTGCAATATTTCAGTTATGAAAGGTTTTGTGTGCTAAAATACCCTCAATTCTTACTGGCGTGTTCTGTTTGGTGAAGTTTTACAGGAGAATGTTAAAGTGTGCAGGATGTGTATCCACTTCTCATGTAGAATATTTCCTTCACTTTGGTCCGACCAGCTTCTTACTTGCTTTTGTTTTTGTTTGCAGAAAAACGCCTCATTTCGTTATGTGTTGGTTGTGGAAATCAAATACACGATCAGTATATTTTGAGGGTTTCTCCGGATTTGGAATGGCACGCTGCGTGTTTGAAATGTGCAGAATGTAATCAGTATTTGGACGAATCCTGTACCTGCTTTGTTAGAGACGGGAAGACCTATTGTAAAAGAGACTATATCAGGTAAGCATTGTTTTGAATGTCCTTTTTCGTCTGGCTTTAGATTTATAAAATTAAATATGAGAAATAATAACTAACAACACTACTCCTTCCGAATTGTAGTCACATACGTCCTGATGGATAATTTCCAATCTTAGTATTTATTTATCAGAAAATCATTCCATTCAAACAGAGTGGCAGTAATTCAGATAAAAAATACAATGCTATGTATTGCGTTTCTAAGTTGTGACACTTCTTGAAAACACGATCTGCGAATAACAAAGTCCCGTATCGTATTGAAAATCACATTAGAGCAAAAATATCACTAGGTGAGCTAACCTACAGGCAAGACATTCACTGGATTACTCTTATATGATTTTAGCCATACGCTTTCTTTCTCAGAGATATTTTAGTGTTATACACATTACATACATGTATATCTGATAACAGTAGGTAAAACAAAGTATTTTAAGAAATGGTTATGTGCTGTTTTGTTTTAATTTTATTCTCTGTCACATTGGAAGACAAGAAGAAATCATAAAACATATCCAATTCCAAAAATTAAAGATCGAATTTTTAATGAATACCTGTGAAAGTTTTGCGTAGGGACAAATTTACTGTTGCTGCCTGGTGCGTTATTTTTGCAGTCAGACCAATTAAAGCCTAAAGGTTTCATAAATGCAAGACAATATCGCTCTGGTACATTTTGACACACGTTTTCTATTTGCCTCTGTCGTAGTATCTATTCATAGCTTTCTATTATAAAAATATGTTAAATATGAGCATTAGCAGTTAACGATCGAATATCATCTGTTAAATTATACCCCTAAATGTTGTGAGTTTGTATGAGCATTGCAAACAGCAAAAATGAATATTAAAAAGAAGGAAAATAGCCGAATATTCATGTACGCAAACATCTGGTCGAAATATACAACTCGTTTTATTTAAATATAGTTTTTTGGATTATTTCAGTTATTTTTCTAGTATTGACACTAGAATCGCAATTATAAACTATAATAATAATTGTTTTAATTGTAGTTTTATAACTAAAAATCAATATCAGAAGATGAAAGCATATATTAAATTACATAAGACAGCAAAGAATACTAATACGATCGCTATCAAGTCTATTGTTAATTGCGGAATGCTAAATTAAAGGTGAGGGTTATGGCAGTGATGTGTTATTAGCTCTTATATAGGCCTTTCTGCATCTTGCAGCATAGTTTTCCAAAATCAAACAGTAAATAAAATCTGAGTCACTTTTCTTGGGGTCACGCAGAAAGTTTAATAATTAACTGAATGAAAGTGTGCATTCCACTTGTGGATAATTTAGTGTACCTGCATTTACCATGTTGAACTTAGAAGAGTTAGCAAAGTAGGCAAATATACTTTCGCACAAATTGTTTTCAGAAATCAAATAATCAAGAGATGGGAGATTCTCTTCTTTGTAACACAAAGTTCTGCTTGTGAGCTTTTTTTCTGTTTTGGTGTAGATGGAAAAAAACAGTTCAATAATTTTAACTATGCAAGTGACATATGTGCTTTATACTGTATGTGTTTTATATACTCTGTGCATCTATGGGGAGAGTATCATTTGCCATACGTTACCGATCATATTAACGGATAGTGGTAGAAATATCACAGCTTTGCTTTTTTCAATGCGCAGTAGTTTTTTATGTTAATATTTAAAAAATGGCAAAGACGGGATCTACGTTTTTGTTAAAAAAATCTTTAAATTGTTAACAGAGTAAATTCTGACTTTTCTGGGAAATTTGTGTTCCAGGTTGTACGGGATAAAGTGCGCCAAGTGTAACATAGGCTTCAGTAAGAATGATTTCGTGATGAGAGCCCGCTCCAAGGTATACCATATCGAGTGTTTTCGCTGTGTGGCCTGCAGCCGGCAGCTTATCCCCGGGGACGAGTTTGCTCTGAGGGAGGATGGCCTGTTCTGCAGAGCCGATCACGATGTTGTGGAGAGGGCAACAATGGGAGCAGGAGACCCTCTCAGCCCTTTACACCCGGCAAGACCTTTACAGATGGCAGGTACGTTGTGCATATTTGATCACGGGTAACAGTGACACGGAATAGAATGTTGTAATACAATAGAATGATCTGCGTCCAGATTAAAGTGTAACACATTTTTTCTTGTATGTGATATGTTTTAAAGCTCTATATTTTGGGTGTTCTTTTTGTAATGAAAAGCCAGAAGTCTTAGTCAGCTATGCCTGCCACCCTAATGACTCTCCTGTAAAACGGAACAGGGTAGCCTATATTAATTAGTGAAACCATTTCTTTTTATTAAGTTCACAAGAATATATTTTAATAAGAATAAGTAAAAAAGAAAGAAGTCATTCTTTTCTTAGAACAAAATAATTCAAGGAAATATTACACTGTTCAATATTCCATAAACCTAGAATAAATCCAGTTTTCCCGATTCCCTTCCTGCAGGGAACACCACCTTTCTTTCAAAGGCATATAAAATAGACTAGACTTTTTCACATAGCAATATTATTTCCATTTCTTTGGAGTTCCTTTTGATTCTTTGAATTTATGAAGGATTCACAATTATTATTCAGTCAATTCTAATCATTATTTTTGATCATTGGGGTTATTATTTCTGTAATTATTCCAGTCCTTTAACTGTACCAATAAATCGTTATGCTTATGTTCGATGCAGTTTAACCAATTACTGTACAGATTGTCATTTATGTGTATTTTACTTACTGATGTAATTGAAAACAATTAGGAAAAATAATTAAATATTTCTCTGTTTCTTCGTATCTTTCATGATGTGTAATGGGATTCACGAATTGGTGTTTCACCTACTGTTAAATGAGAGCAAGTTTACAACTTTCTAGTAGTGATGTAATTTAAAACTGTCAACAATCTAATCTGCGCTAATTGACTTTTAACTGATCCCGTCTAATTTAAGAATTTTATATGATCTGGGGGACTCTCGGTTTGGGTTTTTACACGTCATTGTAGTTTTATCGACAAAGCAGTCTCCTACAAAACATCTCGCTGTTCACGGTTTTGAATAATATTGTTAATGTCTTGTACAGCTTTATGTTTGATTTCAAAGACCGTACCCTTGCTAAAATGTAAAAGGACTGTGCATGGCAATTAATTACAGTCACCTTTCCATTCAAGGCTTGAATTCCGTATAGCCGTGGGCCACAGATGGTCTGATATGTCTGTAGTTGGAACTGGAAACTCACATGTTTTTTTTTTTCTGTGTAAAGGTCCTTCTAGTTTTCTCTAAGGCGCAAGGCTTCAATTTGCAGAAAATGTCAGTCATTCTTACTGTTAATTGAATCGCTCTTTTGATTATATACTATGTTTTATGTATAGGTATATACATTTGTACTTGTAATATACCGACATATCAGGAAGTATATTTTAATAAAATACTTATTTCAAAATAAGTGTAATTTCATATTTTACAATTAATATAAAATATATTATCAGTTATCAAGTTCTTATTTCTTTGAACTATTCGTTCTTACAGCAGAACCCATATCTGCCAGACAGCCTGCGCTTCGACCCCATGTTCACAAACAACCGGAAAAAACCACTCGAGTCAGAACTGTACTCAACGAGAAGCAGCTTCACACCTTGAGAACTTGCTACGCTGCCAACCCAAGACCAGATGCCCTTATGAAGGAGCAACTGGTAGAAATGACGGGCCTTAGTCCGAGAGTCATCCGGGTGTGGTTTCAAAACAAGCGCTGCAAGGACAAAAAGAGGAGCATCTTAATGAAGCAACTTCAACAACAACAGCCTAATGACAAAACGGTGAGGATCCGAGCGTTTTAAGACACTGCTCTCCGAGTGAAACTATTAAAGACCCAAGGAAATCTGCACAATATACATCTAATCTTATTATTATCATGGAGACCTACTGTAGTACTCTCGCTATATCAATAAAGCGTTTCACTGTGCTGTAAACGCCAAGTATTTTTGTCTACAGCTCCGTGTTAAAGCAGCATTGGAGACTAAACTTAACTGCACAGCAGTTTGATCTTGCCGCAACCACAATGGATACAAAATAAGGCTTTATTGTAAATCTTTCCTGCAACTGTCACAAACAAAGTGTTTAACTGAAGAACACAAAACATGTATGTTTAGGTTTTGAATCAATTATAACGGTTTTGTGGTAAAAGCGAGATATTCCATCGCATACCTGAAGTAATTGTAATGTATTGGCCTACTTCAATCGCGATCGTTTTCATTTTTGAAAAAAAAAAAAGTTTATTAGCAGCTAACATTAAAATCCAGACATTGAACAATGATTTTTTTTATTTTAACCCTTCGTTTACAGAAAAAAATGAAGGCGTTGGATTAGTACAATATGAAGAGAATTTGGGCGGATCTATCTGAAAGCAACCTTCCTAGACCGAAAAAGTGCTTCCAGACAGCACATTATTGAATATCATCCTTTTTGTAAAATGGGTTTTTATCATTTATATAGTTTTTATCAATATATTTATTTAAGCACTATTTGTCAAGGGTTAAACGTTAATTTGGGATTATACAATTCATATGGTTAATGCTGTTTCTTTAAGAAGCTGAGGAATAATTTAATCATTTAAATTTAGCCTACATTCCGAAAGAACGTTTGAGACAATTATGTCTGTTCGAGTACTTGTTAAGTGTGCTTTTAGGCACAAAAGTAGGGGGCAAAATGAAGTGATGCAAATCCTTGAATTTATCCAAAAACTGGTTATAACATAATGTGGGTTAAAGTAAATCCTACAAATATCATAGTATAAATCACGGTTTATTTATGTAAAATCAAATGATGCAAAAAATCACAGCACTTTAATGTAGCTTTTGTGGCTGCAAACAGCTGCAGAAATTCTATGTGCACAAACTAACAGAATTAGTCTAGGTTACAGCCTATGACTAATATACAATGCATATTTTTAATTGGCAGTGGTTTAAAGAAATATACATAACACAAAACACGAATTCGATGTCTTTATAATATCAAATATCAAATTCTTATATTTTCTACAATATTGAAACATATGCTAAGAGAATGCTCTTTTTAAGTCTTAAAAGTGTCACAACATTAGATGTGCCGAAACCTAATACACGATTACATGACTGTGTTCATAAACGAGTACGATCTCAACTCTGTAAACTCAAAACACTTTCTTGGGGCTTGTCTGCAGAACATCCAGGGAATGACGGGGACTCCTATGGTGGCTGCTAGTCCAGAGAGACACGACGGTGGTTTGCAGGCAAACCCAGTGGAGGTGCAGAGTTACCAGCCGCCTTGGAAAGTACTGAGCGACTTCGCACTGCAGAGTGACATAGACCAGCCCGCATTTCAGCAACTGGTGAGTGCCAACACCAAGCACAAAGCGCACACTGTATATTCTGTCATACTGCACCACAGAAAACGCCTCTCTGTTATCAAACCGCATACCATACATTACACTAGAGCAGAACATAATATTTTTAAACTGACTAAACTTGCCTTTTTATCAAAGAACTTAATTTTACCACTAATTAAAAGAGGAGTCGTCATTGTTATTGCGGTTATGCTGTTATATATAAAAAAAATCTTTCTCATAGCCTCTCTCTTATATTACAATTTAAAGATCACATGATTGTATAAAGCACATCAGTTACAAATGAATAACCATTACAACATCAATAATGATACAATCTTGATTTTTTTGTTCAATTTTTTCCTTTACACGAGATAATGGTATGATGTCATGGGTGAGTCATTAGAAGAGCCTAGCTGATCGATAGATATTGATTATGTAAGTGTCACTGTTTAATATGTCCTCTCTGAATGTCTTTTTCGTCATTTACTGCTTCAATTAGCGTCCTACATATATATGACTGTTGGACAATTTGTAAAAAAATAATTGTTTGAGTTGTATTAATTAGATAATGATACAAAATATTTTTCTTAATCACATATGTTCTCATGTTTATATAATAAGGTGGTCTATCTTAAAGATAATGCAACTAAGACATACTCTTGATTGCAATGGGAATGACAATTTCATTTTCTTTTTTAGGTAAGTTTTTCAGAAGGAGGACCAGGTTCTAACTCAACAGGGAGTGAAGTTGCATCCATGTCCTCGCAACTACCAGATACACCGAACAGCATGGTATCGAGTCCTATAGAGGCATGAGGAATGGACTATTTAATATTTACAGTGATGAGCTGACGAGGTGTTGGAACCTCCAGACTCTTAAGGACTGTGGTTTACAACCAGTTTGTTCACTGGTTGGTCCATTAGAAAAAAAACACCCTCCATTAAACTGCACGAAGCCTCTTTATCCAAACAACCCCTGGTTGTATTTGTACACTGTGAAGACAATCATGGGAATTGCCTAGAAGCTGAAATATACTTCAATATACATCCAAGACTTCTTGCAAAATTACTTAAGAGAAGACAACCATGATGTAAATTCTGTGAGTTGCAGGGAAAGGGATTCATGCTGTCTGCATAACTTTGACGTTAACAAATGGAAAGACCTATGGTCTCATCATGTTTAAATGGTGCTGCCTCTGTTGGAAATGAAGTTGGTTACAGCCTTGCCAAAAACCTGGAAGAGCAACATAAGTTCTGCAATTCAGTGGACCCCAAGGGCAAGCGAGACCCACAGAATGAATCTGAATTCTGAAGAGGATCAAATTTGAATTTCATATGCTCATTGCAATGTGCAGTGGTTGACTTGTAACCCAATGACTCGTTGATCCTGGTTCTATTTCATAGCTGGTTCTTGATTTTCAAATCCCCCTGCTGATGGTCAGAAGGGGACTGCAGATACTGCTTTTCCATTTTAGTTGAATTCTCTCCTTAAAAGCCCAAGTACTAAAGCATTGCAACAAGGTATACCTCTATTTTGCCACAAGCTTCGTGGGAATTTTGTGTGTGAATTTGTGTCCGTCCAAGAACTTTTTTCCCAAAGATGTGTATAGTTATTGGTTAAAACAACCGTTGGTTAGCTCTGGAAAAAAGATTTTTGTTTGTTCTTGTACTGCAAAAAAATTATAATTTATTATTTATTGTCGAAAGACTTGCCACTATTCCTGTACTTTTGTTTGCTGAAGTAAAAAAAGAAAAGATTGTACTGTGGTCTTTGAATTATCCGTCAGATTTTATGTGTCCGTCTTTTCTTGAAGATTATGTAAAACAACGCCATATGTAGAAATATATCTTCAGGACTATTTCACTAATAAAAGGTTTGACATAAGTCAAAAAGTGCAATAATTTTTGAGCTGTTTTCTTCTAAGCAGAATGCACTTTTATAATGTAGTAAATTGGCCTGTGTGCTCTGCATAAAACAACTGCTTTTGATGATACATGTTGGATTAAAAAGTAAATTTGTCGTAATTGAATACCATTTGTCATTGGATTTTATGATAGTCGAGATTTTAATATTAGCCTTTGTTACATATATTGCTATTTTTGTAATATCGAGACTTGACTTTTAAGTATACAGTGTAGACGCTGGAGAATAAGACTTTACTTCAATTAAGAGCTAGCGTACGATAATATATTCAGCTTAAAGTAAAACCATTGAAAATAAACTATCGTTGCAACACCCGTTAGGATATAAAATGTAACAAAATAATTTTGCAACGAGAATAGTTGGCATCTATTGACCTCTTCCAATAAAAAACTATATACTTATATTTGTACAAACATTCGCTGCAGGCCTTTTGTATTTAGAGGTTTTTTTTTCGCCTAGTCTTTACAATAGTAATAAAATACATATAATACCGAAAAGGCAATTGACGGACCTAGTATAAAGACTAGTTAAAATGCTGTGCATTTATATAGCTGAACTCTAATTGAAATGAGCACGTTTTACACAATGCATTTCAGAATATAAAAAAAACAGTCTAAAGGAAAATGCTTTAAAATAATCTTTAACAGAAGTTGACTATCTGAAAAAATCAAACCGCGCTATAGAAACAATTTGAAAGTTAAACTCTTGATATTACTCTTTGTCTTGTAATGTTGATTTAATGTGTAAATTCTGAATTTATGAGATTGGTCAAGATAATAACAGGAAATTATGAAGAGGCCTGGCCTCCCAGTACCTTTTGTTTAGTTAATTGGACTGTGTCTGAGAGCACAGTCTATCAAATACTGTAACTGTCAATGTCACTACAGGTTTGTAATACGACTTTGCGAAAAAAAAACAACAACTATGGTTTGCTCATTTTAGTCGTAATATGAAATCGATTGGACAGGAACGTCATTAGACTACCACATTAAGTACGACATCCTAAGCCCTGAAGGTGCAAGAAATAGCAATGAAAAGTGCAAACACTGTAGCGTGTCTCAGTTTGATTCATCTTTGGAAATATTGTCTGTGTATTACAAAACCCCCAAAAAAGCAATAAAACATAATACCGTTAATATCAATGGGGAGTGTAGCTATAGTTCTAGACATAAAAAAAAATCCTTCAAAGGCACTAGGATATTTACAGTTGGCCTACCTGTATAGAAGTATAGTTACCTGTTTTACATAGACTGCTTCTCTGAAACCGTGCTCTTGAAATCACAACAGGGTAATAGAATCTTAAAATACATTACAATACAATACAGAGGGTTTATCGCTGTTCTAGAAATAGAAGTTAACAGCGTCGCAACGATGCATCTCAAGTGACCATTACAATAAAGACCCTACTGTAATTTAACTGCACACATCTCCATGTAGCACCAGCGGACTTATTCTGATCGTCTTTTCGTTTCATTTCTTTCCCCTTGGTAAGAGGAGACAAATACACCATGCTTTCTGATGTCTAAACGTCATCAGCACGAAATTTATAGGCTTCGTAGTGGATGACCTTAAGACACTGTAACTAGGGGAATTCAAACAAACGTTTTATAAATACAGAGGGACTTTTGTCCAGAGGAAAGAAGAAATAGACAGTGTTACACGTGATATGTTTATTTAAAGAAGCTGTGTCTATGTAGCAATAATAATAATAATAATAATAATAATAATAATAATAATCGTTCCATGGATTCATGTATTTATTCAATCTATAGTTTCTAAACTCTAATTTTTTTAAATGTTATTCTATTTAATCTGTTATTCAGGTTACCGGCCTTGAGGCCACAGACAGTTTTGGAAGCTTAGCAATGTTTGCCAAGATAGCTTTGCCTCTAGGGAGGTGCCCAGCACCTCGGAAGAGGAAGACGGGGTGTTGTTGTACCTTTCTCTTTCCTATAGAAGCTGATCAGATCGGTGGATCTTGAAGACTAATCCAAACAAGTATGATTGTGGGGTCCTTAGTCTAGACAGAAGTGGTGGCTCGGCGGCTCCTTATCTCTCTCCGGAATCAGCTGAAAGATTCTAAAAGCCCCCGAGCTAAAGGACCCGAAAAAAAGGAGAACGATCGGGCTATCACACCTCAGCCAATCCACTCGTTAAAAAACTTTTTAAAAAGTCCTTTCACACACATGTTTTTTGGTATCGGTTTGACGAGAAATATACTTTTATCCTTACGAATAGCTTCGTTCGACAGTGGTTTGCGCGCTAGCTAAAGCAGTAGAGGATTAGATATACATTTTAGTTTTCTGTAGTCGCTTTGGGGGTGGAATTGACAGCCACTGAAGGTGTAGATACTCCACAAAAATGAATACATTAATCTTCGGACCTCTAACAAATGTGCCATGTGAATAAATGTTTAAGGTTCTCTCGAATGAATTTTTAATGTAAGATGGTAAAACAAGGAATTAAAATGTTTTCTGAGGTAAACGTAGATGATGTATAGATTCCTTAATGATGTGAGGTCTAGTATGCTAGCATTAGCCCTTCCTTCAGCGTCCCTAAACAATTAAAATGGCCCTGAGTATGTTGTACTGTAAGTGTATAACTTGGGCATGACTAAATCAACACTGCCGCTACTACTTCTTTTCATGTTTTTATGCAGAAACTTCTATTTGTCTGTATCACACTTAATCTGTGCATCAGCTAATCAGGAACATTTCTTTACATTGGCTATTTAAAATGTATAGTGCAGGGGCCGTGGCACACAAAGAAGAACGATCACGATATTTAGGAAACACAACAAAGCAAAAAATACAAACTTTGGTAAATAATTTTCTAACCAAAGGACGTATTTTGTTTGAAAATTCTACAAAATTCATAATTTGCCCTTTCACGAGATGGATCATAGCTGTAGCTGTTTTGTAAGGAAGATTAATATTTTTATGTTAGCATCTACAACACCAATAGCAACAACAACAACAACGATGATGATGATGGTGATGACAATGACATGACTTAATTAATACTGGCAGTGGGACCTCAACGACTTCTGCTTCATATATAGACATACTTTAATTTCTTAAAGGGGAAACATTTTACAGTGTTGCTACAACAGCCATTTTATACATTATAGGCGCGCTGGCACCTCGTAACATTCTCAAGTGCTGTATAATATTTTACAATCACATTCTGCGTATGGTAACGTATACAGAAAGCTGTGGGAGGTCAAGTGCCCTAGACTTGCTTGCAGAGTTTGTCCTTTGCAAGGCACAAGGTTTCTCTAAATACTAGCGTAAATCCATTATTCAAACGGTGTGTTTTTAACAGTAGGCTCCACTAAAACCTTTCACATCATATGAGCAGAGACAGACGGAAAGAGTACTGCACAATGAACAGATACGTCAGAATCTTATTTTTGTAGTAACACAAGGCTTACTCAATACAAGTGGGAAAACCAAATGAATAATGCCCATAGCGCAGTGACCTCACAATGATAAAGGGAATTTTGCGTGATTTAACGTAATGTAATTATTCACAATGTCACAAAAAATGATTTCCATAATGATGTAGTTTACAGGTAATGCTGCTAGGTCAACGTTTCTTTTTTTCCTGTAATACCTACAAGCAACTAGCGCACAAAAAGATTATTAGGGTTGGTCTCTTGATACAAAAATAGTAAAGACAAATTGATGATTCTGCAGCTTTACAACTTGTTCTTATACTCCAGAGTTATTCCTGCACATTAGTCCAGATTTATAGCAAAAATTAACTTACATCAACGATAATCTTCGTCTCGTCGTCTGATTTTGCGTATTGATGAATTATCGTTTAAACGAACACTGATAATTTACAATTAATCTGGAAAGAAAGCATATGTACTATTGTCGGATTATACTGTATGCTTATTTTTTCCCAAGATTTGTTTTCAGGAGGTTGAATCGAATTATCACCTCACCTGAACTGGGTGACATTTATTACCAATATTTATTGAGAAATATTATTGGCAGTGGATGTAATCATAGTAGCAATTGTAGTTGTAGCTCTTGTAGTTCTGTTTAAGCAGAACTAATAAAGCAAAACCTATTTATCATAGTCATAGGAGATTGTCCCAAACTTGATAAAGAAGTCCCCCACTCCTCTTGTTTCAATTTGGTAAAAACATGTTACTCTTATAACATTGTTTCATTGCTGTCTTGATGAATATAGTATTTACAGTTAATCTTGACAAAAACGTCTTCTTTTGTATTTTACAACTGTATTTGACCTATTTGTTTTTTGTAGTGTTAAAAAGGTTTCTGTTGTGAAACAAATTTATTAAGTCACATAGGCAGTTATATGACTGCACATCCACACATTAAGAGTTATAGCCCTGATGAGTGTGAAATACTGAGCTCTATAGAGAGCATGACTGCTTTAGATAATAATGAAACAAATGCATAAAGGTAGGGTGTTGTTTCTCATTCTTGCTCCTCCATTCCTACACATACTGTCTTTTTTGTGTGTGTTGTACCATTTAACCTGGCAAATCTTGTCTGTGTTTGGTGCTGTTTTGGTTTTATATGTATTTATCAATGTAATTCATGACTTCTCCACCCTATAGGTGACTATTCCTTTACATCATTGATTTTGTCATGGCTTGTCCTGCTGTAATATGAAATTGAACACTCACTGGATAAGCTCAAAGAATGTGTGTACGTTTATGAGCCATGTGTCCAGTAGTTCATTTTGCTCTTGGGTATCCTTTTACTGTACCCATTGTCTTCTTTTGACAGGTTGTGTGCAGAAGTTGAGCTTTGTGTGTCTAAGGCTTAAGAATTTTCAACAAAGCATGTTGGAGCTAG